AAAAAAAAAAAAACAAAAACAAAAACAAAAAAACAGGGCTTGCAATCCTAGTCTCTGATGAAACAGACTTTAAACAATTAAAAATCAAAAGAAGGGCATTACATAATGGTAAAGAGATCAATGCAAAAAGAAGAGCTAACTATTCTAAATATATATTATCCAATGCAGGAGCACCCATTCAGAAATCAAGTTCTTAGGGACCTACAAAGACTCACACACAATAATAGTAGGAGACTTTAATATCCCAGTGTCAATATTAAATAAATCAATGAAACAGAAAATTAACAAGGATATCCAGGATTTGAACTAAGATCAGAACAAAGTGGACCTGATAGACATCAGCAGAACTCTCCACCCCAAATCCACAGAATATACATTCTTCTCAGAACCACATCCTAAATATACATGCATCCAATACAGGAGCACCCAGAGACATAAAGGAATTTCTCAAAGACCTACAAAGAAAACTCAGACTTTACACAATAATGGTGGGAGACTTTACCATCCCATTGTCACTATTAGATTAAGAAGACAGAAAATTAACAAGGATATCCAAGGCTTAAACTCAGATCTGGATCAAATGGACCTAATAGACATCTGCAGGACTCTCCACCTCAAATTCAGAGAATGTACATTCTTCTCTGCGCCACACTGCACCTATTCTAAAGGTGATCACATAATTGGAAGTAAAAGAGGCCTCAGCAAATGCCAAAGAGCAGAAATCATAACAAATCGTCTCGCAGGACCACAGTGCAATCAAATTAGAACTCAGAATTAAGAAACCCACTCAAAACCACACAACTGCAAGGAAACTAAACAAGCTGCTCCTAAATGACTACTGGCTAAATAACAAAATGAAAGCAGAAATAAAAATCTTCTTTGAAAACATGAACGACAACAGAAATGTACCAGAATCTCTGGGACACATTTAAAGCAGTGTATAGAGGGAAATTTATAGCACTAAATGTACAACAGAGAAAGCAGAGAAAGATCTAAAATCTACACCCTAACATCACAATTAAAAGAACTAGAGAACTAAGAAAACACACAAATTCAAAAGCCAGAAGACAGAAATAACTAAGATCAAAGCAGAACTGAAGGAGACAGAGACACACACACACACACACAC